AATAATACCTATTCTAGAGGAAGCCTTAGAGTCTCCAGAATCAGATAAAAGACAAGGTGTTTGTATTGGATTAAGTGAAATAATGAGTACAGCTGGAAAAATACAAGTTATTGACTATGTAGATTCAATTATCCCGGCTGTTCGAAAGGCATTGGTTGATGAATCTGGCGAAGTACGTGAAGCAGCGGCTCAAGGTGAGTATATTACCTTATACACGTGTATGTTGTGCCAATTTTTTTATATTTAATAAGTTAGTAATTATATCTGCGTTTTAAAGCTTTCGACACGCTTCAGCAACATGTTGGTGATAAGGCAATTGACGAAATATTGCCTACTCTTCTTAATTCCCTTCAATCTGGAGAAGATTCTACTTATGCATTAGAAGCTTTGAAAGAAATAATGACAGTGCGTGCTAACGTAGTATTTCCAGTCCTTATACCTAACCTCATAACTGTACCTATTACCACATTCAATGCTCGTGCTCTCGCGTCTTTGGTAACAGTTGCAGGTGCTGCTCTTAATAAAAGACTTTCAAATATTTTGAATGCTCTTATGGAATCTTTGAGTATAGAAACAGATGATTCTGTAGCTTTGGAGCTTCAAGAAACAGAACGTGCATTGTTGCTTTCTATAGACAGTTCCGAAGGTCTACAAAATTTGATGACAATACTTTTTGAAGCAGTTAAGAACGATGAGCCTGCTAAGCGGGCTGGTGCCTGCGATATTGTTACAATCTTCTGTAATGAGACTAAGATGGATTTTTCAAAATACACAGCAGAATGGATACGAGTTTTGGTATCACTTTTAGATGATCATCAAATAGAGGTAGTCAAATCTGCATGGAATGCTTTAAGTGCTGTAACTAAATCTGTAAAGAAAGACGAACTAGAACAATTGGTCATACCTCTTCGTCGTTCAGTGAAAAGTGTTGGGGTTCCTGGAGTTGACTTACCAGGATTTTGTTTACCAAAAGGAATAAGCCCTATCCTACCAATATTTTCGCATGGATTGATGTATGGTACCGCTGATATTCGTGAACAATCTGCTTTAGGAATTGGTGATCTCATTCAACGGACTTCAGCTGATGCTCTCCGGCCATTCGTGACACAAATAACGGGTCCTCTTATTCGTATCATCGGTGATCGTTATCCTCCTCAAGTGAAGGCAGCTATATTGGAAACATTGGGGTCTGTAGCTTATTTTAGTATTCATCATAGAAATTTAAATATCAAGTTGTTTTTACTAATATTAAAAATAACATCTAAATGTTTAGTATACTACTTACAAAAGTTTCTGCCCTCCTTAAACCTTTCCTTCCACAACTTCAACGAACCTTCGTCAAATCTTTGACCGATCCAACAAGTGCCCTTGTTCGATCACGTGCAGCAACAGCTCTTGGTACTCTGATTTCATTGCAAACTCGTGTAGATCCTTTGATATTAGAATTGGTCACCGGAATAAAGACGAGTGAGCCCAGTGTACGCGAAACTATGCTAAGCGCTTTAGAAAGTGTTGTAAATAAGGCGGGAAATAGTATGAACGAAAGTTCAAAGAAGGGTGTTCTTGAAGTAATTGCAAATGGGTTAACTGATTCTTCTGGTATGTATATATATAATTTGCATTCGATTTTTATGATGGATCATCATTAATATAAATCATATATACATAATGATATATATTGCAGAAGAGATAGTGACTTGTTCAGCACGTCTTTTTGGAAGTCTGTGCAAGCATATTCCACACCAAGAAGCTATGCCTCTCATCACGCAAGTTTTATTATTTATTTATTCATAGTCCATAAGGAGTTTAACTCAATTATTAATTAAAATTAACTAGAAAATTTTAACATTTATGTTAACAGAACCTACGTTTTAACAGGAGAACCGACACAAAGCTCGCTTTTAGCCATTAATGCAATTCTAACAGAAGCTCCGCAGATCTTTTTCGATTTAGGAATATATAATGAAATCGTCAATATTGTATCCATAGGTAGCAAAAGTAATCAGGTAAATCATTTTAATTTAGTCTTCGTAAGATTTAGCTTTGTAGATACCGGTGTTAACTTTTTGTTTCACTTTAGCCTTCAATTGCAGATAATGCTGTCATTGCAGCTGGCAAAATTAATGATTTAAACAATAATCAGGCAACCGAGCTGTGAAAAGTAAATGTTCAACCGGCTAACCTGATATAACCGATTATATAAATAATATGTAGTAATTGCGCCTAGATAATTAATTGTCCTCCATAAATTAATGCGAATGAACTATTTATTATAAATATATTATTTTCTTTATTTCATTTATTATGATGAAATGATTTAAAAGTACTTTTTACACACTAAATAAAATATTTTGAAAGTATCATTCGAGTGTAAAAAATTTGTAAACTTGAACTATTGAATTTGATTATCATATTTTCGACAATCTTGCGAAATCTGGTAACGTTAGGGTCTTAGTAAAAATAATACTGCATCCGAATCTTAATAATAAGGCATACGATACTTGTCAAGTATGATGGCATTTTTAAATTATGTTATTTAGCGAAGATCGATATACGACATTTTTTACGTATACATTTATTAGGTTAAATTATTCACCTAAATGTTTAAGGGTTGCACCATAGCATTGGCTATATTTAAGGCATGAATCTTGATTAACTTAGTAAAGCTTTTGTCTTACTAATAAAAAAATCAATTACGGTAGTCCAATCAAATATATGCTGTCAAATTTATAATCTTTTATTGGATCAGTTCACGATAACCTTGGTTAGAACTTTTGAATCCAGACATATAATAAATATTTTTGAGTTGATCATTTCATTGTAAAGTCATTAAAAGGTATGTATGTATTACAGTGCAATTAAATTGCAAGGTAAGTACGTACGCACGTGTTAACTTAGCAATATATATCAGATATACAAATTGATTCAGTAGAAGACAGTTTTCTAAACCTAGATATCTGCCTATTTGCCATGTCCATTGTAATCGTAATATAACAGAAAAATAAGATTATAGTTGTGTATAGCTCCCTTTATTACAGCTACTCGATGAGTATGCGTAATTACATGTGATGTCCTTTTGCAAATGAAACCTGCATTTAGAGCGCTTATCGAGAGTCGACTATATTCATATTTAGCTTAATAATGTTCTGATCATTACCCTAATATAAAGCTATAATCATGATAATTTGATTTTCATTGTCAATTTCGTAGGCAAAATCGATTTATATAACATGGAAAAAGACATTCCAACATTTTCGAATTCTATTTTTTTTCCTTTACCTCTGCATTTAAAATGTCAGACCTAGTAAGATCAGTATTTTTTAATACCGACATGTTATATATCATCTTTAATAAATTAAAAAGGCAAGACGATATATTTAATTGTTTATTGGTTCATCCAACATGGACTCAAGTATGTTATTTAAATTAAAACGTGCAAGCCAAATGCAAATTTATAATTTTATAATATATTATCTAGATCGCAGTAAAAAAGTTATGGAAAGAACCAGTTTGGAAATCGCCAAGATCATTCCAAAGATTCATCAAAACACTAAAAATGTCATCATCATACTTCGCTTATTCTGATATGATTCGTCATTTAAATTTTGTTCCGTTACAACATCGTCAACAACCTTCATTTTCTAGAAATGATATTAAATTTATAGCTGACACTTGTATACACCTTACGAAACTACGAGTTTCTTGGATGAGAGAACCTTTTGACGCCAATGTATTTGCCAGATTCTTGCGTAATTCTCCAAATTTAATGTCACTATCCGGACCTAGTTGTACGATTGAATGGTTAACTGAGGCGTTAATTCCTATAATTAACGGACAATGTCCTAAGCTTCAAAATTTAGAAGTAAAAAATTGGGTTCATGAATCAAGTGAAAGTTTACTTGAAAAAATTGCAGATAAATGTCATGGAATTGTTTCTTTAGAGGCGCCATTACTTGTTACAAAAGAAGTCGCCACCATGTTAGTCAAATCTTTTCCGAATTTAAAACAATTTAAATGCCATTCGATGACTAGATCAGGGTTATTTATTTTTGTAAACGGATGTCCAAATATGAAATCTTTATGTTTAACTTTTGATAAGCAATTGCAAGATATTACAGACGGATCTATAGCAGAAATAGGTGAAAAATTTCCACCATTAGAATCATTTCAGCTTACCGTTGGATATAACGAAAACTTTCCTCGATTTACTCTAGCTTGGGCCAAAAATCAGAATAATCTTCGACATTTAGAGTTATCATTATGCGTTGGTATTGAAGACGACACTTTTATTCCGATCACTAAATATTGCATTAATTTAGAATCTATTCATTTAGAGTGGTGTTGTCGTCTCTCAGATAATTCATATATTGCACTTGCCCATAATCGAAACTCAAGTTTACGTAAACTTTACGTCTTTCGTTCTGGGTTAACAGACATTGGTTTAACAGAAATCGCGGAATATTGTACAAGGTTACGAAAACTTGGTCTTGAATATTGCCCAGGAGTGACACAAGTTTCTCTTTTGAAAATAATAAAAGAGTGTAAACAACTTGTTAAATTATCGGGAGGATTTCCTCATAAGATAGCAGCTGGAGTTGGACACGCTTTGACTTTACATGGATCAGAAAGTTTACAAGTATTGAAATTTAAAAATTCGTTGTACAGGGATCTCAACAGAGATATAATAAATGTAGCCTTGCAAAAAAATTATGATAATATTGATAGAATGTTGCTTGAAAAACTTTCCAAGAAATGTTTTCGACTTAGAAAATT